CTCTCCCTTAAATGCATTAATTTGACGAAAATGAATATAAGTTTCCTAACAAATAAAATTATAATTTGTGTTCAACAAACAAATGAAATTTATTAACGTATACTTTTTTAACATTTCACGTTATGGTTTCTTCTTAGTCTAAACTAAAGAGGAGTATAAACAAGATTTTTACAATTTTTGGAACAAATGTAAAAAATTTAAGTATAGAGGTTATATCATTACAAAATAGCACCACTTTTTTAGATACATACATTTATCCTTGCACCTGAAAATTATATTAATAATAATAATTATAATTATTAATGGTGATTTGATTTTAACAAATATTGCATATAGAAAACGCAATTTATTTAAAATTCAGCAAACAACATTCGTTATTAAATATTTCAAAACTGTTTATTTATTGGCAGCCAATTAAACTGAATTCATAAGATTTCAGCGCTTCTCACTACTACCGACTACACCATTAAAATAGTAGTTTATGCAACAAACGTGGATATGTTGGCTATATCGCACGACGCCGTAGGCGGAGTGCTCAACCGTCTATGTGGAAGACAGATGCCGTATCCTCATTTATACATTTATGATTTTAATTTTAATTCTCGTTTTTAAATTAGTTTTATATAGTTTGATTAAAATTTAAGATTTTTCATCAAAAGACTGACCAAATAAAAATAATATTTATCGATATTACACAAAAATAACTCATTTTAAGCTATATTTAATCTTAGTAACTAAAAAATATACTGACAATTAGTTTGACAGAATTGTCACTTATTTAAAATTTTAAAAATAGTAGTAATTGGGTGTCCTAAATATAAACTGTGATTGGTGGATTTTAATTTTCTGCAGTTTTCTAACTACCTAAAATGGATATGAGATATATTCGTTCCGTTGAACGCAATAGCATACTTTTTCTTTTAATATTTTTTACAATGGAACGCCCTGTTTATTATCTCATTTCTGTATTTTTCTCTACTATTCGATTTAAAAAATGTATACCTAAGATGTAAAGTGAATCTTTTGCAAGTTGCGTTTTTAGCTTTTTTCCTTTTCCTCCTATTTTTTTATTTTTTTCCTAAGACGTCCCCCTTTACATTATTTTTAACTTATTTTTATATTTTTTTCATAATAGCCTTTTATGTGGTCTTTATGACACAGTAAATTAAATTAAAAACAATAAAACCGTGATGATTGTTTTGTTATTTGAATCTTGCACAAAACGGAATTTCCTACGTATGATTTTTTCACCATATTGCAGTTGAATTTAATTTTATTTAGACTTATCCAAGACACTTAGCATATAAGTAACTTCCATTTTTATCAATAACTACTTAATTTTTAAACAACACCTTCAAGAAAACCATATTTTCAATTTAAAATGACCAATAAATGTATATAAATGATTATATATATTATATGGCGGTAAACTGCTAGCGGTCAATTGCTGGCAGTCAACCTGGCGGTCAATTGCGGGCGATCAATTTTCCGGATCCCAGAGTTCTACGCGACGTATTAGTATTTAGTTTGAATTTGACTGAATAAGGACAAGTGGCCTTTGTTGAGGCAAAATTAACTTCAAAAAATGGTGAATAAAATGATTTCTTAATGAAATTTGATAATATCTCCTGACCTGCCAATAATGCAAATACTTTAACACGTTCACGACGACTGGTGATACTGGTATTTATTTCCATTTCCATAAATAAACATAAAAACGAAAACCAAAAATTTTTTAAATTTGTTGCCACCTTCAAGAGGTCCCCCTGAAAGCAATCAAGCTTCGTCATTGGCGCCGCCAACACAAACCGCTATTAAATCTAATTTGATTTCTGATTTGCCCCAGAACAGCAAGCTTCCTCTTCGGCAGACTTTGCGGGAATTGCCTCTCAACCTAGTTTAGTCCAAGATTTATCCCAAAACAATCAACTTTCTCATCGGTAGATTACACAAAAACACAAAATGCAAAACAAAATGAATTCGCGGATTTGTCCAAACACAATCACCCTTTATCACCGGCAGAATCAGCAACACCAGAACCTGAACCAAATCAACCCCGAGAGGCATCTCTAAATATTCAGGATGATTCAGTCCTAAGCAAAACATAAGTTCCTGTGACTTTTCTTGTCGGCCCTTCCACATCATCTACTAACAAGATAAAGGCATCTTAAACTCAAAAACAGTATTGCTGGTTATCTTCAGATGATACGGAACAGTTCCAGGACTCTCGCGACTCGTATGTGTTTTTCGAGAACGAAGTAGAGAATGATATCCCTTCCTCCACAACAGGGTCTGAAGATGAAGAACAATTGGAATATTGATGGAAGATGAAGAACAATTGGAACATAGTGATGAAAATGATCATATCCCGAATACCACGAACATATCACAGGATAACTGAAGTCCCTGTCAGGATTTGCCATTTAAGTTTCGATATCAACAAACATTAATTTGCATGTTGACAATCCATATAAAATTTATAGAGAGTTTCTTACGAACGATATCCTCGATATAATTGTTGTGGAAACCAATCGCTATGCGTCACAATATTTAGAGACCCATAACGTTCGACGAAGATCTATGCTCAAAAAATGGACCGATACCAATCGGAAAGAAATCAAAAAGTTTTTTGCTATCTTTTTGATAATGGGAATTTCACATTTGCCGCAAATGTATTTGTATTGGACTAGCGGCGAAAAATTTGGCAATAAATTTATTCAAACAATCATGAAGAGGAACCGATTTGAGAGTATTCTCAAAATTTTCCACTTTTCCAATAACGAGGATCCTCAAGCAGAACACGACAGATTATTTAAAATAAGGAACATCATACAACTATTATATCAATGGTTTCAAGAAACCCTTCTTCCTGGCGAAAATGTGGTAATAGACGAGACCTTGGAGCCTTGGCGGGGACGACTAGCCTTTCGCCAGTATCTTTCTGCAAAATGACACAAATATGGCATAAAAATGTATAAAGTATGTACTACAGAAGGTTATACCTACGATTTGCACGCATATGCAGGAAAAAATGAGCCAGTGAGTGGTAAAGGTCACACATATGATATATGCATGCACCGTCTTCTTGATCAGGGACGAACATTATTTATCGACAATTTCTATACTACTGTTCAATTATCGAAAGATCTTTTGGACAGAAATACTTACGTATGTGGTATACTGAAACAAAACATAAGAGGCAATCCAAAATCTAAAAAGAGGTGAAGTATATAGTGATGAAATAAAAGCAATAAAATGGGTGGATAAGTGGATGGTAATAATGATCATAACCATTCCAACAGATAGAGATGTATTAATTCCAACTCTTAAAAAGAGCAGAAAGGAAGACAACGTATTAAAACCGCTCTCGGTAATTGCTTAAAACAAGGCCAAAAAAAAGGTGTAGACATGTCGGATCAAATGAGCTCATATTATAATTCTTTGCGTAAGATTGTAAAGTGGTATAGAAAGTGCGTTTTTGAGGTTGCACCCAAGTACAGCTGTTGTAATTGCATGGTCCATAAATAATACTTTTCGACAAAAAAAACACTAAGCCTCTTGACATGTTTTATGTTTGCGATGCTATAATTCAAGGGTAGCTAGATGACAATGATGTTGACGATACCACCCCCGATGCACTACAAAATGACGACGAAATTGAGGTTGATGGGCGAGCAGAGAAAAAACTCCGAAAAAATGTTTCACTTATAACCCATAAAATTAAAAAATACGAAGTTTCTGCCCCCAAAATAGAAAAAGATGTCTTAGTTGCTACCAAAAGATTAAAAATTCAGGAGTCAAGGTAGCCAGACTAAAGGCAAAAAGAGTAGTAACCCATTGTGAAAACTGTCCTAATATTCAGGCATATTGCATAGACTGTTTTAACAATTGAAGCGCTCGGGGCAACAACGGACATAAGCCACATATTACAGAAAATTAGGATTACTTCATTCTACAAGAAGGTCGCAAGCCACTAGTGAAATATTTTAAAGAAACATCAATAGATGGCAGCACTATACCTAAAAGCCTTTGTTGCCTACGCAGAATAATGTAGTTATTTGCAATCAACAACGACACAAGCCACAACATGGCGGACGGACCGCATGTGCCTCTCAAGAGAAATGCATCTGAAAGTGATATAAGCAGTAGCGAAAATGATAGTGATTTCAGTGCTGACGATAGTATAGCAGATAAAGATTATCGTCCATCTGTTAGTGGATCTGAATCTCCATTTGAATCTGAACAATCCGTAAGTAAACAAAATTGTGACTTATGACTTTTTTGGTTTATTTTTTGGTGGGCATGTGCCATTATCTACTTAAAAACAATACTATTTTTTTTTGTATGTTTATTCATAAAAATTTTTTCCAGATGGGCTTAAATGATAAAATAGTGTTGATTAATTAAATTTTTGTTATTAAATTGCGGGCTTTATTTATTTTTACCAGAAAAATTTCGGATAATTCTCTTTGGGGCTTAAGACCTTTTTGAGTTTAATTGTGGCTTATGACCTTTTTGGTTCCAAAATTAGAACAAACATTATTTTCTTGCAGATCCCTGGAGAAAAAGTCGTCACATAAAAATTTTGAGGAACCAGTCCAAAACGTAACACAACAAGCTGGAACATCACGAGGTGTTCTGGTAACGCCGGATAAAAGCAATCCTTCTCGATGGCGGACGATTAATATAGAACGAAAAGAGAAAAAAAAAGCGCCAAATCAAATGAAATCTTGAATGCAAGTATGAAAGTAGTAGGGGAAAAACGGTTTTGGATAGAAAAATTGGCCCGTCTTGTAACTGCAAGAAGAAGTGTAGAGAGCGACTCCTGGGAAAAGAAACTGACATTTTCAATTCATTTTGGAACTTAGGTACCTACAAGGCCCAAAACACTTACCTGTTCGGATCCATAAAAGCTGTACCAAAGAAGCGTTCCTATAGAAAGAAAATAAAAAGAAGAGAATCGTCTCGAAAAGTCACTTATCAATATTTTGTCAAAGTAAATGGAATTGACATACAGCAAGAATTTTTATATTGACTGGTGTAGGGAAAAAAATATTATCCCAGTCAAAGAAGACAAGTATAGAAGAATGTTTTGCAATGAATATAACATAGGCTTCAAATGGCCGAAAAGCGATACGTGTCTAACATGTGATTCAATGAAAATTGCTATTCAAACAGCATCTGCGAACAAGAATGAAGAAGACATTAAAAGACTGAAACTTGAGCTTGAGTTACATAATAGGAGAGCAGAAGCCATGTCAAATAATATAAAAGAGGAAGTAAAATCAGTTAAACAAACCAATAGAAAAGTATTAGTTATTGCATTTGACTTGCAGCAAACTCTTCCAACACCTAGTATTACAGTTGGTCCGGCATTCTACTTGCGTAAAGCTTGGACTTACAACCTTGGTATTCACGATTGCATATCTGGACAAGCAAGCATGTTTATGTGGACAGAGGCTACAGCCAAGAGAGGAAGTGAGGAAATAGCAAGTATTTTATTGAAGTACCTCTCATGTAGAGAAACAAACGAACAATGGGAACTTGTTGTTTTCACTGATAACTGTGGAGGCCAGAATAAAAACTGGCTAATTATAGCACTATGACTACAACTTGTCAGGGAAAAAAATTGAAAAGTATTGAACATAGGTTTTTGGTATCAAGGCATACCTATTTGCCTTGCGATAGGGATTTCGCCCAAATTGAAAAAGACAAGAAGTATTTGAGACAAATTTATTGCCCAGAGGACTGGTACGAAGCCGTTAGAAAAAGTAAAATGGCCAATCCATTCGAAGTTATTGTTATGGAACAGAAAGATTTCCTATCGTTTTAAAAAGTTCCTATGGTGAAGAAAAAAACATAACTGAAGATTTGAATCGGGTGAACCCAATACGATGTTTATAAAACATGAACTAAATGGAAATTTAAAAAAAATTAATGTTGGAAAGCGTGGAAATAGGTTAATTCTTTAATCAGACGATATTCTTGACAACTTAGACTGCAAATACAATGAACCTTTAAAACTGAACAGCAAGAAAGTTGAAGACTTAAAAAAACTTTTGCGATACATACCACCTATCAATTAAAACTTTTATGTTACTATTTTCGAGCAGTGTGCTGGAGAGCACATTGATGGAACTGAAGATCAAAATATTGCGGAAGATGTGGATGGAGAAGAAGACTAGCGGAAAGCTGCCTAATATTTTTTACCTGTACTAGTATTTATTTATTGTAACCAAAGAATTTATAAGATTTATGTTGAGCTAAGAGCTACTTATTTTATTTTTTTAAGTTAGTGAAATCTAGAAAATGTTGTTTTATTTTGATATAAGAAAGGCACATGCCACACTCTAGCAAAAAAAAATCCAATAAATTCGAAAAAAATAAAACTTTTTTGTATTTTGTTTTATTTACGGGAAAGAACTCAACTCACTGAAACCCTATGACCCAAAACTCACAAATTTGCAAAACAAACCCGATTTACAGATTTGACTAGAATTTTCTCAACAATGTTTCAATGTGGCTTATGCACCTTGTTGCCCCGAGCGCTTCAATTGTCACAAGTGAAACGGTTGTTTCATGACTATTTTTTACGAATTTTTTTTATGTTACTTTTACGTTTTATTTTTTATACTATTAAACCAAACTAAAGTATAACACAATTTAGCTCTTTAAATCGACATATGTTAGTTCAGGTTTAAAAAAGTAAAATGTATTTTTATAAAATAACTATAAAAATTTTATTTTATAATGGTCATTTTTAAATTATTAATGCATCAATTCCTGTGGACAAGTGCGCCAACGGTGGTACACGAATGTTTCTATACCTTTCCTATATACGTTTACCCAATGTCATAAACCTGCTCTATTTATGTATGATTTCAACGAGCATAGAATACATCTAATACCAGTAGCCACCGGTGGAGCACTAGGCGTACCGGAGAAACGTGCGATGCTCCACCGGTGGAACAAGTCGTCGTGAACGTGTTAAATAAAAACTTTACTAACATAAGCTAGATTAAATATTTTATTTTGTCCGAAGTTATATTGAACTCCTATTGGGTCCAATGATTGAACGTTTATGTTATCCATAACGTACATGTTAAGCCGAGTTTTAATAGTAACGAGGCAAGTTCGTATGCTGGAAAACTTTGTCCAATACATTATTGTTATTTTCCGCCTGTTATGTTTTAATTTAACAGTTTTCCATCATACGAACTTGCCTCGTTACTGTTAAAACTCGACCTAACATGTACGTTACGGATAACATAAACGTTCAATCATAGGACCTATTCGGGGTTATGATGGACAAGTAATGTTATTTTTAACAGACACGTTATTTGTGAGCAGCTTGTTACTTCTGTGTGTTTATAAAATAACAGACTTGTTAAAAATAACACAGGTTGTCAATCATAACTCCCATTGTGTCTGTAGACATGGAGAAAGTACAGTCTGTTACTATGTTGGAATAAAAATCCAATATTCGTGGTTTTTTACGCTCACTCATGCTCGCGTTCAGAATTTTCCATTCGTATCAAATATTCATTCGAACCTTGTTATAGAATATACTATTCTAGACCATTTCTATTCCAAAAAAACAATAAATTTAGTTTTTTTTAGTTTCTTCATTTAATTTCATTAACAAATATAAAACACCAGTGACCAAGTGCTTTTAATAGAAAAGGCCAGTTTAAAGGTCACTGTAGTTATGATCTGCAAGTAAAATTACTATTTTTTATACCATTAGTTTATTTAATGTTGATATCTGAATAATTTTCTACTGAGAGTTCCTTGATGATACACTCTGTATATACGGTATTATTATTACTTGAATACTTCAACATTTCTTCGAGTATTTCAAAATAATCTGCTTCATCTGCTGCAGGGATATTAAGATGTAAACATTTTCGTGTGTTCAGATTTTACTAAGTGATAAGAAGAAAGAAGTATCATCAATTTGTTGTCGGTATAGGAATGCAAAAATAGATTTTTATATTTAAACCTGAGAATAGTAGTTACCGAAGTATACAGGGTGTAACAAAAAGGCAGGTCATAAATAATACCCGCTATTATGGAGTCAAAAATAGGTCGGTATGTCAAAAATAGGTTTATAATCCTTTTTGTTGTTGTTTTATTTTGCTAAAAATTGTCAACCTCGTGATAGATCATATTTAAATGAAAAAATGTTTAATTTCTGAATTCTATTACATTACATTTTTGTACTTAAATAATTAAAAAAAAACAAATTCATCATTTAAAATTTTTGTGTGATTCATAATTTTAAATTTTTGTATATAACTTCTAAATTATTTTTTTAAATTTCTTAAAGTTTCGTTGGTGGGCCGTAGAAAAAAATAAACTGTACAACTCGAGTGGATTGTGTCTATCATATCCATTCTATCCCAATAGTACACACTTTTAAAGTTAATTTATTTTCATTCTTTAATTCCAATAATAGTTAAACATTAATTTCATTAATTACTTTTTATATCAATTAATCATTCTCAATCACTAGAAATTTATTGTGTATTATTAAATGTACTAAAATTGTAACTTTGTAATTATTTATTTTTTATAGATCTTATATGTCCAATCATAAACAGAGACTTATAGCTAACCGAATTATATCAGCATACAATCTAAAATACAATTTTACACTATTATTTCGTATGTTAACTATTCCCAAATTGTTGGCTTTCAACATATTTCCTTTCAAATGGATGCCTCTCTATTCTATGGTTATGGTTAAAATGGGTAGAGGGTAATTACCCACGTGTCTCTTAAAATAATATATAGTGGCACAAGTGAGATTTATAATGGTATCAAAATTATTTAATAGTATAAAATTCGGAAAAAGTGTATTTTTTATTAGTAGTGGTATAAAATTAATAAGGACATTTTGGTCACTTATTTTTTGCTATTAATGAAGAGTTCTAAAATAAAAAAAATTAATACAAAAAACGGTCTATTCTTTGAAATGGTATCAAATTTACAGTTTTGTCGAATATATTTATTTAAAGTCAAAAATTATTTATTTAAAATGTAATTTTAATAAATTTAGTAGTTTCGAAGAAATAGCTATTTGTGTGTTAAAAGCGAAAAGTGATACTTTGCCACTTGAGAAAGGGTAAACGAACTTTTTGCTTAAAATACACACAAGATTTTTGCTACGACCACATTATTTTAAAGTAGATATGAAACCTGCAAATTTGTCATAAGTAATGCATAATGTGTTGCCTATATCTACGTTAATTATGAAAAAAGAAGTTGATATTCAAATTCAATGTTAAGTTGGATAATGAAACAAAAAACATCAAACTAAGTACAAATATTATATCTAATATGAACTAGGCGAGTAACAGGGCTGTCAGGTTTTCCGCTCAGCGAGCGACAAAGCTGTCACCTATCAGTTCGCGGGAAACATCAACTTTGCATTTGAATTTCGAAGCGCAAAAACCTAGTTTGTTTAGTTATCGTAGAAAAGTACATTTCGTATTCATAAACAAAATTAAGACTTCAATAAGATCATTCTGATGAGTAAACTCCCAAAATAGATCTTACAATAGAGAGAAAGATAAATATAAAGTAACAAAATGGTAGGACATTTTTATTATACCAGGTCGTTAGGCGTTACGTAATTGTATACTAAAGATATTATAAAATTGCTTCTTGTTTACTTGTTAACATTTAAAAATGTGTTTTTAGACAACAACATTGTACTGTATCGTTACTTTGAGTAATGTGGTCGATTGTAATTCGTTTGTATACTGTAGTTTTTTTTTTATTTTTTAGCTCCATTTTGAACAAAAGTAATATAACGTATTATTGTGACAGGCGGGCAAAAAAATCTTTAAATTTGAAAGTCTAAAATAAGACAATATCGTTATTACAGTACTATTTATTAATATATTTTAACTTAAATAAAGTAAAGATTTTTCTTATATTACAAAAAAAAGAAAGTAATGCAACTTCCCTCATTATGCCCATCGTATAGAGCAAAATGGGGTACCATTCTTAAATCGAGAAAAACTTATTGACGTAGTTCACAAACAAGTACTGCTTCGTTATCTTCATCTTCTACACCTGCACATGAATTGTGAGCCCATTTGTAGCAATTAGAACAGCTTACCCATTTCTCTGTGGAACTTAACTAAAAGTCTCCGCAGTACAGGCAAGTAGTGTCACTATCGTCGCCTTCTGAATCCAACTCTATTTTTTAAGTTTTTTTTTTAAAGTAGATTTCTTGATGGTCTGTGATTTGTATTGAACATCTGCTATCTTTCTTTTTACTGTTTTCATCTTAGTAGGCTTTTGTATTTCTTAAGCCAATTTCAGTTCTATTTTATTGGGTGAGGACGTTAAAATGGCGGTTTTGCCACTTCTTCTTGACAAGTGTTTCTTGGATTGATTTACTTTAGGCACTGCTAAGATTGCTTGGGGTCTTCCAAACTTAAAACTAGTGTCGCTTTCTTTGGACGATCCTGGTTGAGGCTCGTGCATCTTTCTTCTAATGGATGGTCCTGGTTGAGGCTGGGACACCTTCTCTTTGATGGATGATTCTGGTAAAAATTCGGGCGTGTTCTCTCTAACCGACTGTACTAAATTG